ACTTCTACTCCCTCCTATGTAGCGAAGAGATCAATATTGTAAGTGATAATCAGAAAACTGACTCCTCCTCTCAACCCCACCATACAGTAGTGATAACAAGAGATTTGTCGACCTATTCTTCACGTGATTGAGGTTAAGGTACTATTCTAAACCATACCAAAGGGGGTTGAAATACGCAAAGAGCATTAGTCATGTGCCATATTTTTAACAAATCTGGACACTAGGTGGCTTCGTGATGGCATCGGTTAAACCTGGATTATAGACCAACCAAGCAAGCCTTGCAAACTTCAACCTCAAGTTATGATGAGTTGATGAAGTCAATCAAACTTGTCGAATTGACAGGTTGAACTAATTTGCTTAATTGACTAGGCTAATTGCCTAACAAGCTGGCTGTGCTAATATTTAGCATGTTGAATGACTAAGTTTGTTGAATTTAGTTAAGGGAGTTTGTCGAGCTATATTGATAGGATGGTCAAGTTCAATTGTCATTTTATGTTTTCTACAAATATTCTAGGAATATTTGGGTCCGACCACGTGCCAACATTATCTCGTGCTCAGAACTTGGTAACATGACTTTTATGGCTATACAATACCATATTGCAATTTAACTCACGGTAATCATTAAACTCTTGGACAACTACAAGCCAGATTTTTTGAACATATGATATTGATTCTATATATTAATTTACTAATAACATTGAACTATTAACCACACTAGTTCATTATTTTCATTTGTTTGTGTGAATCATGGAATTTTCTTGGGTTATCTTACTTCATCATTGATATGATTAACTTAAAAATTGTAATTTAAATAAAATTTATCACAATGTACCATTTAGATGTGAATAAATTGCTTGGAAGGACATTTGAAATTTTTTTTCTTCGGAATCATTTATAATATGAAGGGACATTCTTACTTTAAGAAGTTAAGAACATTATCATAAACATAGTGATAACTTGTGTAAATTATTTTAAAACTCTTTTTATTAATTTGGATAACTTTTAAGGTAGTAATATTAAAGATTTAAAATTCGGTTGAGCTTAACAATATTTTATTATAAGTTATTAATTTTAAAATGGTTATTTTTAGTATGATTTCTAAATGATGAGATATTTTTATAAGGAATAAAATATTTGATATTGTTGAATCCTTTTAAGACTTGGGGTCTCATGTTGTTCGTGACCTCATACAACTTCGGAGGGATCTCACCTTTGGGAGGAAAATAATTGACAAAAAGAAGAATAGAGTGGGAAAACGCTCATCTTATCATAAGCTTACAAGAGAATAAGACAGAGCTTGATAGGGGGGATGAGAGCCAATTGGAATGATCATAACAGTCCCCCCTCTTCCCTCGTATACCTAATCTCCTCCCCCCTCCTCTCCTCTCACTCAAGTGATGGAGAAAATAAGAAATACAAAGCTCATATCATACAATACGAGTCATGTTCATAATGTTCCTTTAAAAATATGAATGTCAGGCGGCTCTTAGATAGACATGGACATATGTATGTTATTGAGCGATGTCTTTCATGTATACCATTTAAGATACTTGAGAAGTGATCATGGAGAGTTTGATAGAGTACTTCAACAACTAATGCAGGACAACTGAAAGATCGATAAGTGACGATGATAGATCACCGTGATAGAATACTCTAACGGCTAGTAAAGAATGGTTGGCGAGGTCGGTAGAACACCTTGGCGAGATACTTCAGTTGTTAGTGCCTTATGACATTTGTGATTTAGAAAGACTGGGCCCTCCAGGCCCAAGAGACCTATTTTTATAAGCAAAATCCCATGAGAGCTACTTAAGGGTATGCATTTAATTTCTTGATTTTCTTAATTGTTAAATAAGATACTATGAGAAGAATAAAAGAATAAAGAAAAGCTTGCTAATTTATTTCACGCCACAAAGAATTTTTTGATATTCACTTATGTACAATTAGGCCAAAACATGATAAAATGTTGAATCCGCTTATTTCGAGATCACACCTAATACACTCAAGCTTTATTAGGTACACCTATAGGGAGTAGTTGCAAAAAACAAATTGTTCAGAAAATTATCCATTAAAATTTTTAATGACTCACCAAGTTATGACTTAGGGTTTAGTAACTACACCTTCGTCTACCCTTGCAATCTATCCAAATTTTCTACAAAATTATATACCTGTTGCAAGTTCTAACGTTTTACAGGAAGCAGCAAGAAGATGACATGTATGTTTTTACAATGTTATTTAAGCACTTTTCTTTCCTTTCAAAACATGATACATGCTTGGTTGTGGATGTCACTTTACCTACAAAACGAAACAAATTTTTTTCAAAATTTATCAACAATTTTCAAAACTAAATTATATTGTTTCAAAGGTAACCATAAATTCTTTGAAATACCACAAAAAATAATACGTTCTTTTGAATTTACGGGAGTCCCTTTGAGGAGGTAACCCACGATTGCTAACGAGATCTCCCCAGTTTAAATGGGTTTCACAACTCATTTAAGCTAAGTAAATTCAAAAGAAAACAATGATATCAGAACGAGGAAACCATGAGAACCTAACTGGTGTCACTCTAATCAACTTTAACCCCCCTGATTGAACTTAAACTCATCATTTAAACCCTTAAACCTTTAAAACTTAGACTTTATGACTGCTACTTCATCGAAGAGCTTGGAGCTGATTTTGTGGGTAGTCTTCTACAACAACAATCCACAACAACACGAGGATCTACAACAACATCAATTTCCTTAGAATTAAACAACAAGACATAGGATTTTGAGGTTGTCTGTCAAGTGCGACATAAATCTTCAACTCATTTTTAGGCCTTTGCACATTCATGTTGTGCAATATAAGCCATAACTCGTTTTAGAATTCTGAGGTTGTCGTTCGTCACGTCTTAAATCCTCACATCTTTCAGGCTATGTGTGAGACCATCTCACACAAATGTAAGCTCAAACTAATAAAATCGGCATGATGAAACAATTAATATTTCTCTCACCAAAATTGAAGTCAAACCTTAGGATAGTTTGGGAAGTCACTGAGGTTCTCCTCAAACTTCATGACGTCCCCTAGTTCTTCTTCCCTTAGATTCCAAAAACAAAATGTTCCAAATTTGAGCCCTTACCATTTCACACCTCTTTGTCCGATCTTTGAAAAAGTCTTATCCTTTTGAATTCCTTGGAGACAATATTTTCTTATCTAAATCGAGAGTTTTCTTAAGCGACTTCAGTAGTTTAAGGTGTAATTGGCTATAAGGGTTTGCCTCTATAGGAGCTTTAAGAACCCGGTAATATAAACTCTATCTCATTATTTGTATTAGATAGAGGAATTTGTTGGCACATATAATAGGTTCGCAGACCAGACGGATGTCATAAATTCTTTAATTTATTTAATCGAGTCTCATCAGTAAGTAGTGTATCTATCCTTTAGGGTAAGTATATTGCTTGTGGTGTTGTGATCGATCATTTAAACTATTATTTATATAAGAGCAGTTTGATCTTGTATTTTCAAAAATTAAAAATGTTACCTTTTTTAAAATAAAAATATACCATCAAGTCAAAAAAACCCAGCCGACAAGATGTCGTGTGCAGCGGCGCCTCTCAAAGGAGGTGTTGTTGAGAACAGAGGATAGAGCGGTGACTGTGCTGTTCTTGGCCTCCGAGGACTCCGCTTTTTTAAGCGGCAATAATCTCATTATCGACGGCGTAACGACTTCGTCGAAGAGTTCTCGCACAATAGAGGCGAGCGATGATTGGCCTGAAAGAGAGATTCCATCGGCATATGCGGATTACCTGAAAGAGCGATGGTTGGCCTGAAAGAAAACTCGGAATCGCCGGCCGCCACCCCAACTATTCGTCATCCGCACCTGTGGATTACAGACACAATATTCTCTCAAGAATAAGGGTATCAAGAAGCTCGTTGTTCCCAAACAACTCATATTCATCCCGTTCAGTGACTCTTGTTTAATTCATTTCAAAGAAATAATTTTCTTACACTAGAAACACCAATAATAATATATATATGACCCTACTGATAT